GGTGACAGCTCATGTGGTTTCCTGCCAAGCATTGAGTAGAACATATGATATGTGTATTTTCAACTTTACTAGACACTGATAAATCAAACTAACCTTCCAGTCTCAATCTCTTCCAGGAAACTTGCTGATGAAATCTTAGCTATTTCCAACACTATTAAAATATTATTTTCTTGCTTTTCTCCATCTGAAATCTCTGCTCTGGTCAGATTGGCCTACTCACTGGTTCATGAGCATGCCTTTGCTGTTAGGTCTTCTTGAATAAAATATTCTTCCTTTTATTTTCTCATTTTTTAATTTTGAGACGGAGTCTCACTCAGTCGCCCAAGCTGGAGTGCGGTGGCATGATCTCGGCTCACAGCAACCTCTGCCTCCTGGGTTCAAGCAATCCTCCTGCCTCAGCCTCCCAGTAGCTGGAATTACAGGCGCCCACCACCATGCCTGGCTAAATTTTTAGAGACGAGGTTTCACCATGTTGGCCAGGCTGGTCTCGAACCCCTGACCTCAAATGATTCGCCCGCCTCAGCCTCCCAAAGTGCTGGGATTACAGGCATGAGCCATCATGCCCGGCCCTATTTTCCAATTTTTTTCATACTGTGATCATCCAAGCCCCTCCACTTACCCTCTCCCTCCCTCAGCTTCCTGTGAAGGAATCTTAACTGCTTTATAAAATCATTCAAACTGCTGAGGGAGCTAATCTCAGCACTTACTGCCTCCCACTGCCCCATTCCCTGGGCACTCTGCTTCTCTAAATCTGTTACATAAGTGCTTTTCATTATTAATGATTTTTTCCTGTGTATATATCAAATGTCTTTCATTACACTACACTTCTCTTAAATGCAACTGAGCAACTGACTTCAGGCTCCCTCTCTCTGTATGCATTTTTAGTATTCCCAATATCACCGAAGTTACCTTTTTAGTATTCACCCACATTACATAACTGTTGTTTACAGAGAGGTGCTTAATTAGTATTTTAAATGAAGCACTAAATCAATTTACTGCACTAACATCAATAACCAAGAGTTAGTAGTGACATAATCTGACAACCTGAAATCTTCTTTGCAGTTCTGAATAGATATAACTTTAATTTTCATGTCACTTTAATTTATTATGTCGCATGTATCCTGTTAAATGGTCTGTTTGTCTCAGTTCAGAGAAGAGTACACTACAGTAGTGCATGAATTAATGCCTATGAATTTACTGCAGGTATCAAACTTCCATTAAAATAAAAATATTCATATTCTCATTAGAAAACAATTGTTAGCAATGAAAACAATGGCGATCCCCAGCCAAGTTAGTTAGTAGGAATCAAGGGCCTTCTATTTTCCACCTGCCCCAATGTGAGAATCTGACGTTTCTTTTTGGACTTTAAAGTATCTGTTAATATTTTACAGACATCATAAGGGAAATTGGCACAAAATAAATACATCTGTACTATTTTTAACTCCACCGGGGGGAAAAAAGACAAAGAGAAATTAAGTTTCTCTACATGAAAATAGGAAGAGAAGTATTTTTCAGGAGTTTGCCTAAGCAAAAAGAAAAAAAAATAGTCCCCCAACTTTCATAGCAACCCCCAAATGCTACAAAAATCACCACCACCACCAATCTCTGTATAACATATACTCAGGATACAAAATACCCTGGGTATTTATGGGACGCAGAATAATTTTCTCCATTTTTTAACATTGGGCTTTACGTGTTTTTTTTTGTTTGTTTGTTTGCTTGTTTTGTTTTGTTTTTTTAATGAATCCGTGAGGAGCACTGCAGTTGCATTTTTTAGAAGATACTCAGAGTAGCAAGTAGATTCTAGAGGTGTGAGACAGGAGTGATGCCTCACACCTGTAACCCCAGCACTTTGGGAGGCTGAGGTGGGTGGATCACCTGAGGTCAGCAGTTTAAGACCAACCTGGCCAACATGGTGAAACCTCGTCTCTACTAAAAAAACAAAAATTAGCAGGGCGTGGTTGTGGGTGCCCGTAATCCCAGCTACTCTGGAGACTGAGGAATGAGAATAGCTTGAAACCGGGAGGTGGAGGTTGCAGTGAGCCGAAATTGCATCATTGCACTCCAGCCTGGGTGACAAGAGCGAAGCTCAACCTCAATAAATAAATAAATAAATAAATTCTAGAGGCGTGTTGTCAGGATGCATTAGGCTGCAAATAACAGAATGCTTGATTAAAATAGATTCCTGCTATCTAAAGTGTAGTCCTTGGGTCAGTAACATGGCATTATTTCAGAGATTGACAGTTTCAGAGTTTGCCACACCCCAGACCTTCTAAATCAGAAGGTGCATTCTAACAAGCCCCCCAGGTGATATGCACATTAAAGTTTGAAAAGCACCAGCTCAAAGAAAAGAAATGAGGGATTATTATTTCACATAGCAAGAAATCTGAAGACAGGCAATTCTGGGATTGGTTAATCAGTTGCAAAATGATGTTGATAACTCAGCTGCTTCTCAACTTCCTGCTTTGGCAGCCTCAATGTGCCCTTTGTGCTCAGATGTAACCCTTCATTCTAACAAAATGGGTGCCATAGTTCCGACCATTCACATCTTCAGGAAAACTATATTCAGAGGCATGAGGGGCAATCTCTTCTTGTGCTTCTAATTTTTTTTTTTTTTTTTTTTTAGATGGCCTCCTTCTTTGCCCAGGCTGGAGTGCAATGGTGCAATCTCAGCTCACTGCACTTCTACCTCCCAGGTTCCAATGATTCTCCTGCCTCAGCCTCCCGAGTAGCTGGGATTACAGGCATGTGCCACCACACCCGGCTAATTTTTGTATTTTTAGTAGAGACAGCTTTCGCTGTGTTGGCCAGGCTGGTCTCAAACTCCTGACCTCAAATGATCCACCTGCCTTGGCCTCTCAAAGTGCTGGGATTACAGGCATGAGCCACCACATCCAACTTATAAATACTCTTTATAAATAACAGAGTGGTAGAAAAAAAGAAAGATTACAAGAGGTTAAAGAGAGAATGAATAGTGAGAAAATGAAAGTAGTCAATACAATTTTTTTTTTTTCTGAGACAGAGTCTTGCTCTGTCACCCAATCTTGGTTCATTGCAGTCTCTGCCTCCTGGGTTCAAGCAATTCTCCTGTTTTAGCCTCCAGAGTACCTGGCATTATAGATGCACGCCACCCTGCCCAGCTGATTTTTGTATTTTTAGTAGAGATGGAGTTTTGCCATGTTGGCCAGGCTGGTCTTGAACTCCTGACCCTAGGTGATCTGTCTGCCTCGGCCTCCCAGAGTGCTGGGATTACAGGCGTAAGCCACCGCGCCCTGCCACAAACAATTTTTGAAGTTGTAAGAAAAAGAGAGAAATATAGTGAGGGTTAACGAGTAGCTCCAATGAGGGATGGTGATATTTTGTCCTCTCCACCCATAGCACAGATCTGAGATTGTCCAAAGGAGAATGAGTCCCTGAAAGGAGAATGAGGGATGTTGTTAGCAAGGAAAGAGGCAAGCCTTGGATGAAGGACAGGCAAGTTGCCTGTTGAGGAGAGACATGTGGAGGGGTTATGGGATGGTGGTCCTAGAAGCACTGTCTCCAGAACAGCAGAAACACCTAGGAACTTGTTAGACATGCAGATTCCCAGGTCACGCCTCAGACCTACTGAATCAGATCTCCGAGGATGGGACTCGGCAATCTCAGTTAAACAGCCCTGCAGGTGATTCAGACCTACACTCAAGTTTGAGAATAAATGTGCCAGGGAATAGTTCATATTGTACCTACCTGTATGTGTGCCTCTGTAATTTAAACTGTTTTCTTGAGTCAGGAAATGCTTTCCGTTTTGTTCTTACACCTGTGGGCTCAGGTAGACTCAGATGCTGAGGCCCTGCTGGCCCTGAGGAGGGTGTATAGAATTCTAGATAGACTAGGAGACCTCGAATGTTGGATCTTTGCTGCTATTCTTGCTGGGCTGGTTACCTGCATTTCTTTTTTTCTTGCCCAGGCTCTCATTGAGCTCGTAGACAAAGGACCACCGATTATTTTTTCTGTCCTGTTAATGACTGTCCATTGCAAAAACATGAAAGTCTGCAACCCTTAGCATGGAAGGCCACTCCTGTGATCTCAACTCTGCTCACTTCTTGAGTCTTCTACCTTGCTGCCCTGAGGGGAACCTTTTCTTTCTGGCAAGAGATCTGTGGAAGGGAACTGAGAAAAATTCTTACAGAGTCCTAGCAACATTTGATCTGGTTACATAGCTTTATTACCTGCCTACTACATGCCAGGAATTCTACAACAGACTGGGATAAAAAGATACTTTACAAAGAGGCATAACATATTCTGGAAGAGAAGTCTGTTTTCATTCAGAATGCTATAACAGAATACCATAGAGCGAGAGGCTGAAAGAATAAACATTTTAAACAACAAACATACATTTCTTACAGTTCTGGAGACTGGGAAGTCCAAGATCAGGTGACTGACAGACCTGGTGTCTGGTGAGGGCACCCCTCCTGGTTTGCAGATGGTTTGCAGATGGCTATCTTCTCATTGTCTCCTCACACGGGGGAGAAAAAAAATCACCTCTCTTGTGTCTCTTCTTATAAGGGCACTAATACCTTTTTGTTTTTTGAGACAAAGTCTATCGCCCAGGCTGGAATGCAGTGGCACGATCTTGGCTCACTGCAACCTCTGCCTCCTGGGTTCAAGTGATTGTCTTGCCTTAGCCTCCCAAGTAGCTGGGACTACAGGTGTATGCCACCACGCCCAGCTAATTTTTGTATTTTTAGTAGAGATGGGCTTTCACTATGTTGGCCAGGATGGTCTCAATCTCTTTACCTCATGATCCACCCACCTCGGCCTCCCAAAGTGCTGGGATTACAGGTGTGAGCCACTACGTCCGGCCCAAGGGCACTAATACCATTTGTAAGGGCTCCCCCTCATGACCTAATCATGTCCTAAAGGCCCCCTGCTCCTACTACCCTCATCTTGGGTGTTAGTATTTTAACATGAAATTCTTGAGGGGCACAAACATTCAGTTCACAACACAGCCAAAGACACAAATGCTTCGGCAGCACATATGCTAAAATCGGAATGATATAGAGAAGATTAACATGGCCCCTACACAAGGATGATACACAAATTCGTGAAGCATTCCATATTTTTAAAAAAATTATAAAAAAGAAAGAGACAGGCTAGGCATAGTGGCTCACACCTGTAATTCTTTGGGACGCTGAGGCAGGCAGATTACCTGAGCTCAGGAGTTCGAGACCAGCCTGGCCAACATGGTGAAACCCTGTCTCTACTAAATACAAAAATTAGCTTGGTGTGGTGGCTCACGCCTGTAATCCCAGCTACTTGGGAGGCTGAGGTAAGAGAATTGTTTGGACCCAGGAGGCGGAGGTTGCAGCGAGCCGAGATCAGGCCATGGCACTCCAGCCTGGGCAACAGAGCAAGACTCCCTATCAAAAAATAAAGAAAGAGAGAGAGAGAAAGGAAGGAAGGAAGGGAGGGAGGAAGGAAGGAAGGAAGGAATCAGTACGTACATTTCAGAACAGAGTTTTAAAGAAAAAGTAGGAAGTGGCTGAGAGAAGGTACAGATATGTGTTTTCAATAAAAGGAACAGCATAAGCAAACACGGGTTGAAACAGGACAGCAATTGCTGGGACACTCAGAAGTCAGAGTTTGAGAGTGGCAGGTTGGGCAGCTAGAGAGGGAGATCAAGGGTAAACAGCTGCTCCACTTTGCCCAGAACTGTCCCCATTTTAGCAGTGAAAGTCCCCTGTCCCTCAGTTCTGAACAAACCAGGATGGTTGGTCACAGTAGGGTAGAAGCCAGGCTGCAGAAAGTCTTACATGCCATGCCGAGAAGCACACACTTTTTGTTGTTGTTGTAAATTTTTTTTTTTTTTTGAGATGTAGTCTCACTCTGTCACCCACGCTGTAGTGCAGTGTCGAGATCTCAGCTCACTGCAACCTCTGCCTCCCAGGTTCACCCAGTTCTCCTGCCTCAGCCTTCCAAGTAGCTAGGGTTACAGGTGCCCACCATCACACCCGGCTAATTTTTGTGTTACTAGAGACACGGTTTCACCATGTTGTCCAGGCTGATCTCGAACTCCTGACCTCAAGTAATCCCCCCAACTTGGCCTCCCAAATTGCTGGGATTATAGGTGCGAGCCACTTCACCTGGCTGAGAAGCACATTCTTGATCCATCAGGATCAAGAGCCACTAAAGGTGGCAGGAAGCTTCTGGAAAAACACCATGGAGCTGCATTAGCAAGCATAAGGGCCACAGTGGGCCAACCCTACATAAGACAGGGGAAGGCAAAATCAAGTCTCCTGGCTTTTGCTGTCCCACTCATAAAGGAAAATTAAAACATAAAAACACAAAAAAGAAAAGAAAAGAAAAAACGTTGTTAAAGAGGGAGGAAGGCAAGGCAGGAAGGCAAGGATGGAGGATGAGACTGGAAGTCTGGAGTTCTGTGTTCATTCTTTCCACTTACTCACACAAGCTCTGGAAGCTTCGGTTTCCACATCTGTGAAATGGGATAATACCTACCTCCTTGGTTTGTTTTGATGATCAAACAACAGAGTGCATATGAAAGAGCTTGGTACACTATAAAGCACTATATGAGTATTACTAATAAGGCCACTGTCACTCAAAATATACCAAACCACATCAATCTAGAAAGCGTAATTTTGGTCGTAATTGTATCACATTGCTTACTGATTTCAACAGCACTCCGTCATCATTAATAACTCCTGCATGTCAGCAGGCTTGAGTGGCGCTGACAGCTGCTGAGAATTGCTAGAGGAAAGCCAATCCAGATTCTTCCTTTTCTTTCCCCACATTATAAACATTTAGGCCAGGTGTGGTGGCTAACACCTGCAATTCCAGCATTTTGGGAGGCTGAGGCGGGCAGATCACTTGAGGCCAGGAGTTCGAGACCAGCCTGGTCAACATGGTGAAACCCCATCTCTACTAAAAATTTGAAAATTAGCCAGGCATGGTGTGCGCCTGTAATCCCAGCCACGTGAGAGGCTGAGGCACAAGAATTGCGTGAAACTGGGAGGCAGAGGTTGCAGTGAACCGAGACTGCACCACCGCACTCCAGCCTGGGCGACAGAGTGAGACTCGCTCTCAAAATAAATTAAAACATTAAAATTAAAATTAAAAAATAAACATTTTAACTAGGTGAAGTGAGATTGAAAAGAGCAAGAGCAGGGTATGCGGACAGAAAGGAATAGGAAATATTTGTTCTAGACCCCAAAATATGGGTTGATATCAAGTTGATATCGAGTCAGATCATACCCTGTTTATGGTCTTGTCTTGTCTTTTCTTTCTTTTTTTTTTTTTTTTGAGACTGAGTCTCACTCTGTCACATCCGTCATCCAGGCTGAGTGCAGTGGTGCAATCTCGGCTCACTGCAACCTCTGCCTCCTGGGTTCAATTGATTCTCCCGCCTCAACTTCCTGAGTAGCTAAGATTACCACTGATAGTGATTCCACCTCTGCCCGTCACTGGGGCCTGCACTAGCTGGGCTGGCATCCCCTCCCAACCCGAACTGCTCCTCAGAGCCATCTCCTGAACCATAAATTATTCTTACAGAAAGATAGTTATCCAGAAATTCCCATTCCACCTGCCTGCAGTGCGTGCCTGCATAGCTCTCCTGAACGCAACAGGGCTCTGAAGTCTGGCCTGTGCCCCTTGGCTAGAGGGACAGCAGGAAGGGGGCTGCACCCCACTGGCCCTGCACCCATCTTTGGCCCTGTTGCCTCTATTTCAATACAGAAGTGTTCAACAACAACAACAAAAAAAAGTTAGCCACCATGCCTGGCTAACTTTTATATTTTTAGTAGAGATGGAGTTTCATCACATTGGCCAGGCTGGTCTCAAACTCCTGACCTCAGGTGATCTACCTGCCCTGGCCCCCCAAAGTGCTGGGATTACAGGTGTGAGCCACCAAACCCAGCCTGCTTATGATCTTTTAATAATTACCTTTTGCCTGGAAATCAAAGCTCACACTTCTTGATCTGGCCCTTATTTACTTCTCTAGGTTCTTTTTTCTTTTTCTTCTTTTTTTTTTTGGGGACAGGGTCTCGTTCTGTTGCCCAGGCTGGAGTGCAGTGGTATGATCATGGCTCACTGCAGCTTCAACCTCCCAGGCTCAAGTAATCTTCCTGCTTCAGCCTCCTGAGTAGCTAGGACTACAGACATGTACCACCATGCCTGGCTAATGTTTTTTTTTTGTGTGTGTAGAGATGAGGTTGCCCAGACAGGTCTCAAACTCCTAGGCTCAAGTAATCATCCCATCTTGGCCTCCCAAAGTGCTGGGATTATAGGTGTGAGCCACTGCACCTGGCCTCTAGGTTCTCTTTAGTCCTTTGCTCTTGTGTAGCTTACTTTCTAACCACAACAAACTGCTAGCCATGGTGGAATTTGTTGTTATTGTGCACCTGCTCTTGTCCCTTCTCTCTTTGTCTGACCTTCCTCCTGGCATATACCTCCTTAGACACCCAAAGTGAGTTCAGATGCTACCTTCCATTGAAATCGACTTTGGCTTCTTCAGACACAGTCAGACACCTGTGAGCCTATAGCATGCTGGGCACTTTTCTAGAATAGGGGAAAATATCGTGTAGCAGAAGAGCATTGAGCATTTTGATCACAGTCCAGCTTTTAAGCCCAGATCTACCATTTTCTTCTTTGGATGAAGTATAAGAGAAGCACCAGCGTGGATTGTGAAAAGCACGGATTCTGAGGCGAGACAGCCTAGCTATGGGACCTTGGACAAGTTACCTAAACCCTTTTACATCCGTGGGTCCCTCAGCACCCACGGATGTAAAACGAGGGTGATCATATTACAGTCCTCCTCAAAGGATAGTTGTGAAAGTAAAATGAGTTAATAAAAAAAAAGTAAAATGAGTTACAGAAAAAGAAAAACTGAGGGGTGGGTGAGGTGGCTCTTGCCTGTAATCCCAGCACTTTGGGAGGCTGAGGTGGGTGGATCACCTGAGATGGGGAGTTCAAGACCAGCCTGACCCACATGGTGAAACCCCGTCTCCACTAATAATACAAAAATTGGCTGGATGCAGTGGCTCATGCCTGTAATCCCAGCACTTTGGGAGACTGAGGCGGGTGGATCACATGAGGTCAGGAGTTTGAGACCAGCCTGACCAACATGGGGAAACCCATGTCTACTAAAAATACAAATTTAGCCAGCTGGGCATGGTAACTCATGCCTGTAATCCCAGCTACTCGGGAGGCTGAGGCAGGAAAATTGCTTGAACCCAGGAGGCAGAGGTTGTGGTGAGCTGAGATTACATAATTGTACTCCAGCCTGGACAAGAGCAAAACTCTGTCTCAAAAAAATAAAAAGAAAAAGAAAATGGTAGGCATGTTGGTGTACACCTGTAATCCCAGCTACTTGGGAGGCTGAGGCAGGAGAATTGCTTGAACCTGGGCGGTGGGGGCTGCAGTGAGCTGATACGGCAGCACTGCACTCCAGCCTGGGCAGCAGAGGGAGACTTTGGTCTCAAAACAACAACAACAACATAAATTAGAAAATACATAAATAAAAACACTGAGAACAGGCTCTGACACATGCTTGTCTGCTCTTGTTATTAATCTCACCGTTTCTTCTGTTGTGAAAAGGGAGTAACACTCCCTGGTGCAAGTGGACACGAAGATGACGGGAGATAAGCAGGTGTGCTTGATGTAGAGAAGGGCTCTTTTTCTTGCCCTTTACCTCTTGCCCTTGGAATTCTAATTCTTTATTTATAGGTATTTCCACCACCAAAATCTCCCGGCTTCCCCAGGGAAGAGAAAGGCTCACCCATCTTTGTGTTCTCAGCCTCTGGCACATAGTAGGTGTTCAAGAAATGCTTGGTGAATGAGTTGATAAAAATGCAGTAGTAGAAAAACTTAAAATGGCCTTAAAGTCCTATTAGCAATATCCTAAAAGGGCACCAATGTTAATCTCTAAGATCCTGTATCTTTATAAATCAGTGTGAAAATCACTTTTTGAGGGTTTTTTCTTCCCTCTTAATTTTGTGTTTGTATTTCTTGGTGTTGCCCCACTCCTCCCCAGGTCTTCTTTCTTCTCTGCATTAATCTTGGACAGGATTTCTCAACCTTGCCACTAACAGCGTTTTTTTTTTTTTTGAGAC